AGGTTTGGTTCGTAATAGGTAACACCATCGTCGTAGGAAGTGTAATGGTAAACCAGGTGGTGTTGAATCATGGCGGAAAGTCCATGACGAAGTTGACGATCGGAGAGGCGCGAGTAGAACTTCAGTCGCGGTAATGAGAGCCGGTCATAGCGCTGGAGGGTTGAGAAGATACGCTGGCGAAGACGGATGACGGTCAGCCTGTTGCTCGATGTGGCCCGCAAATTGACACCGACTATATGGTTTTCCATGGATGCAGCGGGTTACCAAGTGAGCAAAAGCGAGCATACCGCAAAAAGCTCCCCAAAATTATCCTCGACCAAGAGCGCACATAGCTCTGCCGCGTACTGTTACTCGGACCATTAGCAGTGGTTAAAGATGAGGGGCGGGAAGAGAGGGGAGGGGGAATTGATCGCATACTTGGGAAGTCATAGTGGATGGCTTCTAGAGAATGCGAAAAGCTTCAATTCTCTAGAAGGGGGGGAAGGTCACCGAGGGAATCGCATGAGGTAAAGTGCAAAAAAGGAACGACAGGCGCGAAATGGGGAAGCCGGAGCAACGATGATCAAGATTGGGGATACTTTTTTTCGGCAATCGGAGAAGGAGAGAAAGCGTGATCTGCAAAATGTCATGGTGATTGTCAGCCTGAGGCATTGATGTATTACTACTTTGCACAGGACAACTGCTCACATAAGACATCAGGTGACCCGGAGGACGAGGAAAAGCCGGTTCCGCCCGCACTCGCATTTCGGGCCAATCACGGGGCGAGTAATCAAGACCAGCCGGCATCTTGAAGCTTTTCAGACATCGTTTCTGATCCGCCCAACGACCGCCAGCAGCCTTCCCCTGCTCCCACTCCTCTCAACCCTCCCAATTGCTGTCGAGCTTCTCGGCTAACCATTCTCCTCGCCCTCCTCTATTCCTCTCACACATGCGATGATGCTGTCGCGGTCTACTTTCAGCCGGAATGCGCCCCGTGCGCTCCAGAAGCAGTGCTCTGCTGCTGGCGCCAGCAGCCGTCGGGGCATGGCCTCTGCTGCCACTCCTGGTCTCCAGTACGATGTCTCTGAGTCTGCTGGTGTGAAGGTCGCCAACCGGGAAGTTGCTGGCCCTACCAGCACCCTTGCTCTGGTTGCAAAGGCTGGTCCCCGTTACCAGCCCGTCCCTGGCTTCTCCGATGCCCTCGAACAGTTCGCTTTCAAGGTTCGTCCTTCCTGGCTTCAACCCAACATCCACGCTCTCTACTACACTCTTTTCTAAGGCAATTGCTAACCAATTCTTCTTATCAATGGACAGTCTACGCTGAAGCGCTCGGCACTGCGGATCAATCGGGAAGTCGAACTGCTGGGCGGTGAAGTTTCCTCTACACACTCTCGCGAGAACGTCGTCCTCAAGGCCAAGTTCCTCTCTGGCGATCTCCCCTACTTCGCTGAACTTCTCGCCGAGGTTGCTTCTCAGACCAAGTTTGCAGGTGAGTAAGGAGACAACGGGAATATGCCGCCACCCCTTCCCCCTCCTCCAAATGTCAGACGAACCGGTCTAATTCGGCTTCTCAGCCCACGAGTTGAGCGAGGTTGTCCTCAAGACCCTCAAGTACAGACAACAGGCCCTTGCCGCCAACCCCGAGGCCCTCGCTGTCGATGCCGCTCACGCCGTCGCCTTCCACCGTGGCCTGGGCGAGAGCATCACCCCCTCGACCACCGTTCCCCTCGAGAAGTACCTCTCCGCTGAGGCTCTGGCTGAGTACGCTCAGCAGGCCTTTGCCAAGTCCAACATCGCTCTTGTTGGCAGCGGTGCCAGCTCCGCCGACGTCTCCAAGTGGGTTGGTGACTTCTTCAAGGCCGTCCCCAGCGGTGCCCAGCTCCAGAGCGCTGCCTCCAAGTACTACGGTGGTGAGCAGCGTGTCTCCACCAAGGCCGGTAACGCCCTTGTGATTGCCTTCCCTGGCTCCGGTGCCTTCGGAACCGCTGCCTACAAGCCCGAGGCCTCCGTCCTCGCTGCCCTCCTGGGTGGTGAGTCCTCCATCAAGTGGACCCCCGGTTTCTCCCTCCTCGCCCAGGCCACCCAGGGCTTCTCCCAGGTCCGTGCCTCGACCCAGAACCTTACCTACTCGGATGCTGGTCTCTTCACCATTGCTCTCTCTGGTAAGGCCGACCAGATCACTTCTGTTGGTAAGAACGCCGTCGACCTTTTCAAGAAGGTTGCCGCCGGTGAGGTTGCCGCCGAGGAGATCAAGAAGGCCGTTGCCCTCGCCAAGTTCCGCGCTCTCGAGTCCGCCCAGACCCTTGAGACTGGTCTCGAGGCTACCGGTTCCGCTCTCATCAACGGCAGCAAGCCTTACCAGATTGGTGAGGTTGCTCAGAGCATTGATGCCGTCACTGAGGCTCAGGTCCAGGATGTAAGTTTATCAATTCACCTACTCTTGTTTTCTGCGGCAATAATTATTTTGGGGAACAATGGCTAATGTTTTATACACAGGTTGCCAAGTCCTTCCTGTCTGGCAAGGCCTCCGTCGCCACTGTTGGAGACCTCTTCCAGCTCCCCTACGGCGCGGACCTTGGTCTGACTGTTTAAACATGTATACAATACATATTAGACTGGCTTTGGAAAAAACCGAACACCCCCTATTTTTTTATCATGTGTCTAGATCGACCTTTCCGCAGATATTCTCTTTTGTGATGTGGCTGTAGTTGTGTGTCTGTAATACAATTGTACCTTAACCCATCTTTGTTCAATACCTCTCTCGCTGCGATGTAGGCTGCTTGCAGTAACTTACTGTGAATAGTTTTGGAAAACACAATTTGCAAAATGTATCGAATCTGGTTCCACTGGTATAGATTTCCCCCTTCTCTTCCTTGCTGTTGCTATATATCGGATAAACGGAGGGATATACTACATATATTTTAGTAACCTTAGTAGTATTAAGCATGTCTAATAGTGCATTGGGACTACTACTCCATAGAGCCATCACCCCCAACATATATAATATACTAGTAGTACTACACCCATATCATTCTGTCGTAGCTAACAACCACTTTATCTCAATTCTACACTACATGATACTCCGCATTGAACCAAACCCCGATACTCCGATACACAAAGCATGCCCAAAAACCCTCCCAACAAGTTTGTTACCAGTCAGGTCAAAACAGCCCATCTGGCCGATAGGCAGAAATCAATACTGATTGAAGTCATTCTTGTGGACATTATCAGTAAAGTGTATAATCAGCATCGGTAAAATTGTTCGACTGCGGCACCTTCCGCTTTTAACTTAATGATGTAACATGTAGTAATATATATTATACTATAACTCTACAATCACTATCAGCACAAAGATGATACTATCAATGCTACGATGGGCCAGCAAATGCATAGTAATGCTAAATTACCAGTCTCACCTATCAGTCTGCTAATACTAATTACTAGTACTGACATACTATATATCAAGTCCCGAATGCCCTACCATGACACCAATGTCACCCGTCTTCCTCCTTCCCATTCACATTCACAACTCCTTCACAATGGAATAACCAGCAACCACTCAATGATAGACAGCCAATTACAGATCAATTCCTTCATTTAAAAAAAAGAAGGTACTCTAGATAGAACCATCGATTCGTCCTAGAACTCACCAGCACTGTTTACTAGTATTTCTACATACACAAACCACACGGTTACAGCCAATCAAAAAGCAAATCGACAAATAAATTAATAGATAAATAGGCATGGACACTCAACCGAACGACTACGTACTAAGACGCACGTGCTTACAACACACACAATTCCATCACCTGACCCAAATTAGAACAGGGATGCCCACATACATATGCAGTAGTACTAGACAGACTGTACATGATTTAGTGAGACACGCCATCATAATCATATGCAAGCCTTGACTGGGATTCTCGGAGAACAGTTACCGTAGATGGTTCACCGAGAAAATAGGAAAAAAAAAAAGAGTACCATCATTCAGACAAAAGTACATACATATACTGCTTACTATACTAGACTATATTATAATATACGGCATCGGAAATTTTTGGTCTTAGAACAAAAAGGAGAGGGGTAAGGTCCGTATTTTTGATACATGTATACTAACTAGTCTATACTATACTATATTATACTCTAGTAAGATGATCGGATGGTAAGGCTGTGTGGGAGTCAACCAGCCGGCCTTGGAATTCGGGTTTTGGAAGAGATTAAACCCGCGCAATATGACAGATGACGGACGGATGGACGGATTGATTGTCACCTTCATTTTAAGACTGTGTAGATAGATAGCCGTGTGGGAACTGGGAAGGGAGAGGGGCTTGCCCACATTCCCGAAGGGGCCGTTGGCTGACTGGAGACTGTCATTCCTCAGCCGAGAGTAGACAAAACGGGCATTTACGCCGGAGTAGATAGTAGCGAGCTTGTGAATCTACCTAGGTATGTGGTGGCTGGCTCTACTGTGTATCTATTCCACTCTGTTCTTCCTCGGTAACACGGGATATGTGGATTTGATGAATAGGGGAAATACATAACAAACAAACTAACGGCGTCAGAACACAGGTGGGCGATCGTGCATGTGTATCTCTCCGATGAAAAATCAACCAACGTATGATCAAAAATGGCCTCATGGTATATGGAATATATTAACATTATTATGCTAAGGTAGTTTGGTTTCATAAGACTTTCTTGCGGCATGTTCGTCGGCACCTATGCATAGCTAGCTACGGACCGAGCAAGTTCCACACCGTATGAGTAAGATTATCTAGCATCCGCTCCTCCGACCGAGACCGCGCATGGCAGAAGGGTATCTCAAACCTTCTCTAGTGCTTAGCGGTGACTTTGTCGCCCGTCAGTTTTTCGACTGCTTCCTTGGCCCTGTTCGGGGTAACGGAGACCCACACGTTAGCTCCAGTTCACTCCTCGGTTATCACATGAAGATCGGGGCGCCACCCCCGTAGGAAGTGCTCCGCCCGGGGTATTGATAATGCAAGAGAGGGGAAAGTCTGTTCCACTTACATGTCACCAAGTGCCACCATGCAGACGGTCTGCCAGATTCCCAGACCCACACGGGGGGCCACACCCCGGTACAATCCCTTGATGCCGTTCTGGTCGTAGATGTACTTGGCGGCCTTGCCCACGGTGAGGTTCTTGGGGCGGTTGGGGTCATCGGTCTTGCTCTGCATCTCGACACGGATCACCTCAATGGGCTGGTTCCAGGCAGAGAGACCACCACCGAGACCGGAAGCCAGGATCTTCTCAAACGCATTGAGCTTCTGACCCTCATCCTTGTTGGTGACCTTGCGAATAGCGGTTTCAGCCAGGCGAGAGAAACCGAAGCGGGATCCCCAGTTGGTGGTCTGGCGAATGGCAACGGCGTTGACACCACGGTTGATACCACGAATGCCCTCCTTGCGGTAGATATCCATGAAAGTCGCGAAGGTGCTGGGGGGCTTGACGCCCTGGGCGGCCATCTTGTGCTTGGTGATCTCGACGGTCTTCATGCAGGTACAGAAGCCCATGGTCGCGTATGCCTGTGCGATACCACCGACCATACCTCCAGCGATACCGGCGGCGAAGTCGGGCGCACCAAGCACCTTGGCACGGAATTCCGCCTCCGATGCGACGAAGAGGAGGACGGCGCCCTTAGTGGAGGCCTCAATCCAGGCCCACGGAATGAGACCTTGATAATCTAGAGTAAATGACGAGTGTCAGACAATGCCACCCCACACTAGTCGGAAAAGCGAAAGAGGAAAGAGCACTTACAACCGAGGATCCCGCCACGGCCCCAAATTCGACCCATAGCACCAGCGAAGCTATCGCCCCGGTTTGCAGCCATGGTCGTCTTGATCACTTCCAGCGGCTATTGAAATGGAGTTAGCATAAGCCGACAATTGCCGCTTCGGTTATTGCTTCGTACCTGACCCAAAGTGGTGACCCTATTCCATGTTAGTTACGAAACACACGGTGCGCTGGAAGAAGCGGGTGAGAAGGGCAAACATACTCAAAGAGGTTCAATCCAGCACCCACTGTAGCAATGCCATCAGAACCAATTTCCTTCAAAACGCTGATCGTCCGGGGTTGTAGCAAGATATTACATACGTAGCAGATTGCTGAACTTCACGGGCTTCTTTTCGAGCTGTTTCTGGCCAGTGGCGGCCGTCGCGGCAGTAGCGGTAGACATATCTGACCTTGGGAGCGCTGAAAGGGGCCCTGACCAAGGGAAATCTGGGGGCTTCGTCGCCTTAAGGGATCACGAAGAATCGGAAGGTAGTCTGCGGGTCGGGTACGTCAAGGACGAACGACCAGAAGTGAAGTCGGTTTTGGTTGTTTGTGGATGGAAGAAGGTGAGTTCGGAGGTAGGTGACGCTGATGAGGAGGACAGGCCAAGTAAGCAGGTAGCTCCGGGGAAGGGTTTCGAGTATATGTACGGCAGAAGCAGCAGTATGTATGTATGAATGAAGATGAGGGAAGAAGATGAAGGAGAAAAAAGAGGAAAAAGGGAAATTATAAGAAGGATCAACGAGGGGGTGGGACGGCCTTCCAAGTAGAGCATACGTACCTATCGATTCAGATGGTGGTTTTTTTTCTCCCAATTGCAGGTCAAAGAGTTGCTTTTTTTGTCTGGCGTGGGCGCATCCAAGCACTCCGTACCAAGGAGTACTCCGTAGTAATGAGCACACTCACCACCGCAACAACCAGGAACCCAATGAGATCCAATCACCGCCCGCCATCGGCCGATTGGGGATGGCGCTAAACCTGATCAAGGCACAGCGGCCACTAGCCTGCTTCGGGCCCGGCGGTGAGCCACAGCCGAGGGCTTCAGTTGAGGCCCGGAGCAAACCGGGCTCCCCCCCAACAAACACCCTGGAGCTGCATTCATTTTCCGAAACGGTTGAGAGGGTCGATCGGGGGGACCCACGTCCAGCTGGCCCTGGAATGATAGTAGTCCCAAACTATCTATCTATGGAGCATCTATCTACCTCCTACAATAATAATAATCACTTCTAGATTCTACTACTAACCTACTTGGCACCAAAAAGGGAGAGAGGTAGTCCGGAGTACGGAGTAGTCCCTCCCTTCCGCCTCCTCCCCCCATAGCAACCACGATCATGGGAGGATCAGAAGGAGGATCCGCCAGGATCTCTGAACACGCCCGGACTACGGCGGCCGTAGTAGTAGTAGTAGTAGTAGTAGTAGTAGTTACTATGTATATGTTTGTCTCATACGGAGTACTCATCCTTCCTTCAAATATTCCCGGAGTAGACCATTCATCCATTCATTCATTTGACTATCTAGTCCTTTCGCATTTGACTTCCAGTCTGGCTTATCTCACTGTCCGTAGCTCGTATTGTTCCGCTTGAACGATGGAGTGTTCCGGAGGTCACCAATGGCGCCCCCGAACCTCTGCAGTTAGCGTTGGCTGAAATAAAGTATCTAAGTCAGTCAATGTAAATGTCCAATTCATTCTCCGAAACCTGATTGAAACCCGATGCATCTTCAATTTACCCTGCTGCCTGACTGGCTATGTTGTTCGACGATCAGTCCGCGGAGCTTTTTTACTTTCGGCCTATGATTTGACCGATATGCAGACCTGCAGTCAGCTCGACACTGGTGGCACTAATCACGTATGTTTCTCGACCGCGCCGATCCCACTCCTCTTGGCCTCTCCCTGCGTGATTCTTATCTTCGGCATCCGACTTGCAATGTCAGCTTGCCCCTCTCCGCCCCCTTACGCTTGCTTGTCTGTCACTCCGCGACACACTGTCCCGGGGTCTAATACGAAATAAGAATCAGAAGACGATTGACTTGGAATTTCTCAAGTGCTGTTTGTTACAAGGCCCGCTCGAACCGTGTCCTATCATACATTAATCGAACAAACCCCAACACTTTAAAAATCGTCCCCAGTCACAAAAATACTAAACCAGAACAGGGTAGGCATAATACAAGATGCTGTGTTTATCGTAAAAAGAAATAAGAATCACCTCCGGTTTTTCATGTCATCCCAAACTCATTTACAGCTTAGCACCAACAAGCTTGGCGAAAGCCTCAGTGCTGTAGGACTTGGGGCGCTCAATGGGGGCACCAAGGGCACGGTCGATGATCAGCTGGGGAAGGACACCCAGAGCACGGGAAACACCGAAGAGGACGGTGTAGTAGTTGGCCTCAGTCAGGCCGTAGTACTGGAGGAGGACACCAGAGTGCTACATACCGGTTAGTACACTGGTCGCGCATGCAACTGGGGCGCAGGTTCACGAGGCAACTTACAGCATCGACGTTGGGGTAGGGGTTCTTGGTCTTGCCGTGCTCGGTCAGGACACCAGGAGCGATCTTGTAGACCTGGCTGACCAGCTTGAACATGGGGTCATCGGGCAGCTTGCGAAGAGCGAACTCGCGCTGAGACACGTAGCGGGGGTCGGTCTTACGAAGGACGGCGTGACCGTATCCGGGAACGACCTGGCCGGCGTTCAGGGTGGACCAGAGGTAGTTCTTGATGGCCTCGTCGCTGAGGTCGTTGCCAATGGCGGCCTTCATCTTGGTGAGCCAGTTAAGGACTTCCTGGTTGGCCCTGTGCGATTGGAAAAAAGGAAACATTAGCGAGACCGCTTCGATTCGATGGAAATCGAAAGAATTTGAAAATTACAATCCGTGGAGAGGACCAGCCAGACCGTTCAGACCAGCGGCGAGAGAGAGCATGGGGGAGCTCAGAGCGCTACCAACAAGGTGGGTGGTGTGAGCACTGACGTTGCCACCCTCGTGGTCGGAGTGGATGGTCAGGTAAAGACGCATGAGCTCAACGAAGTCGTTGTTGTCGCCGTAGCCGAGCTGGTTGGCCAAGTTGTAGGAGTAATCCTTGTCCTTCTGGATAGGAGCGACCTTGCCATCCTTGAAGACGTTGCGGTAGATCTTGGCAGCGATGGTGGGCAGCTTGGCAATGAGGTCCATGGAATCCTCGAAGGTGTAGTTCCAGTAGTCCTTCTTGTTGATACCCTTGGCATAGGCCTTGGCGAAGGCAGACTCGTGCTCAAGAGCGGTGACGGCCAGAGAGAACTGGGACATGGGGTGCAGAGTGCTGGGGCAGCGGTCGATGAGCTCCTCAATGAACTTGGGAAGGTCGGAGCGGGCAGCCCACTCAGCAGACAGGTCGCGGACCTGCTGCTCAGTAGGGATCTCGCCTGTCAAGAGGAGCCAGAAGAGACCCTCAGGAAGAGGCTCCTGACCACCGGGAGCCTTGGGGAGGAGCTCCTGGCACTCGGGGATCTAAGGACTGTTAGTATACATTTCGAATAGTCTTTCAGTTGTTCGCAACTTACGGTACGGCCACGGAAACGGATACCCTCCTCAGAGTCGAGGACGGAACCCTATCGAAGTCAGTTAGACAGTCTCCTCAAAATTTATTGACCAGGTTCCTCATCATACCTCCCACACGAGGCACTTAACACCACGGGCACCACCATAGGCCTGGTCAAGAGTGACCTCGCCGATGACCTTGCTGCCGTGCTCCCTACAAACATTGATTGACTGGTTAACAAGGCCTGCTGTAGATAAGAGGGTCGGACGGGGAGCTGTGCGTACTTGCGGAGCTTCTTAACCTTCTCGAGCTCGGCAGGGAGCTTCTCAGCGAAAGTCTCCTTCAAGGACTATGAAACAGAGAAGCATCAGTATGAATATTCGAGGAATGATTGTTATCGAGGTAGAACGAACCTTGGCCTTGCCGGTAGAGTAGCAGCGCAGGCCATTGAAGGCAGCAGACTGAACAACCGGCTTAGCGGCAATGGAGGAGGAACGGAGAGCAGAGGTGCCCAGTCTCAAGGTGGAAGCCATGGCGAATGTGAACAACTTGCAGTAAGTTGAGTGGTTGGAAGGAAAGAAGGAGAGGAGAGAAAGAGGGTATATCAGGACACGGTAGGAGAAAAGAAAAAGGAAGATGGGCCGCACGGTGTTCCCAAGTTATGGAGAAGCTCTTTTGCGCGGCCCTTTTTTTCCATCTGGCCGTACTAATACAGCCGGTACGCGGACTGTACGGTAACGCACGGCAACGCCGTGCGGTAATGGTGGGCGGCTGTATCTTACGGTCACACTAGTCTCAACCCGGCCGATATCCCGAGTCTGAGCCAGGATTTCGGCGCGCTTTCCAGCGGCAATCAGAAGGATCCATCATGTTTTGGTGGTGACCCTTACCCGCTTGATTCCGTTGTACGGAACGGAGTCCGGAGTAAAATCCTCTCTTTCCTTGCGTTTTGTTTCTTGGTCTGTGTGTACTTTTACGCTATGTATTTACTATTACAACCTTTAGAGTTCTACTCATGTCATTCTTTCATACTTGCTCGAGCTTATGCGTGTCCGTTCAAAAGCAAAGCCCAGAGCTGTCAATTGTGATCAAACGGTCAACCATATGCATGTGTTGGAATATAGATATAGACACTGTAATGCCGCCTCGGGCTACTATTATTGTGACGATCATCGGCGCCGTCTCATCCGTAAACGGAGTGTCACAGTAGAGCTGTTGGTCCATGGCTAGTGACGTCGGCAGTCGCCATCTCATCCACAATTTTGCCCACCCATTGAGTTTCCATGGGCACGGATTTCCCCAGCCATAACAACAATACAAGTATGTAGTGGTATTACCTTACACACCTTGCTCGACATATATAAGTTCAGACCTTTATTACTCGGTGTAGTGATTTTCTCATGATTGATGATTTGCATGGTCACAAGGGGTACCAAACTGTGAAGGATATTCGTGATTGCGGTTGGAAGTGAAGTAAGCAGTAAGGGAAGGTATCCAGCTTCCTGAGTCCTAGCCTGTAAGAACTAAGAACAGTTTTCTCATGGTTAACGACTTGATAAGTGTCTCCGTTGTAAGTGTTTCCAGGGGTTAATGGAGTACTCTGTAAGGTTTCTCAAACGGTGGGACGGTCTTCATTTGTTGTGTAGAAAATCGGTTACCTAACATGATGGGGAAGCCTAGCGCATTACCTCATTCGACTCACCGAACTGCGACTCATGCACTTGTTTCATGCTTTGGCGGGACTTATGTAAGGATTGCATATCTCTTTCAAAAAAATGCAAGTCACGTGTTACAATGCAGATATGGCAGCCTGAGGCAAAAGAAAAGAAAAATGGCTGGGCATACCCGGCTCACTACTCACTTGTTTTTAGGTGTTGCTGCCCGTTCGAGCC